TAGTTATGGTAATTATGGTACTGTTATGGGACTGCTATGGTGCTGTTATGGCACTGTAATGGTGCTCTTATGATACTGTTATGGTGCTGTTTTGGTAGTTATGGTACTGTTATGGTGCTGTTACGATGCTGTTATGATTCTGCTATGGTGCTGTTATGGTAGTGTTATGGTACTGTTGTGGTGCTGTTATGATGCTGTTATGGTACTGCTATTGTACTGTTAAGATACTGTTATGGTACTGTTATGGTACTGTTAAGATACTGTTATGGTACTGTTATGGTACTGTTATGGTGCTGTTATGGTGCTGTTATGGTAGTGTTATGGTGCTGTTATGGTACTGTTAGGGTGGTGTTATGATGCTTTTATGGTGCTGTTATGGTTCTGTTAAGATGCTGTTATGGTACTGTTATGGTACTGTTATGGCACTGTTATGGTGGTGTTATGGTAATGTTATGGTGCTGTTATGCTGCTGTTATGCTGCTGTTATGATACTGTTATATTACTGTTATGGTAGTTATGGTGGGCATAGTAGTTATGGTGCTGTTATGGCACCGTTATGGTAGTGTTATGGTGCTGTTATGTTACTGTTAGGATGCTGTTATGGTGCTGTAATGGTAGTTATGGTATTATGGTACTGTTAAGGGACTGTTATGGTGCTGTTATGGCACTGTAATGGTGCTCCTATGGAACTGTTATGGTGCTGTTTTGGTAGTTATGGTACTGTTATAGTACTGTGATGGTGCTGTTATGATTCTGTTATGGTGCTGTTATGCTGCTGTTATGGTGCTGTTATGGTGCTGTTATGATGCTGTTGTGGTTCTGGTGGTACTGTTATGGTACTGTTATGGTGCTGTTAAGACGCTGTTATGGTGCTGTCACGTTATGATATGGTGCTGCTATGGTAGTTATGGTGCTGTTATGGTACTGTTATGGTGCTGTTATGGTATGTTATGGTGCTGCTATGGTAGTTATGGTGCTGTTATGGTGCTGTTATGGTATTCTTATGGTACAATTACGGTAGTTATAGTACTGTCATGGTGCCATTATGGTATTGTTATGGGACTGTTATGGTCCTGTTATGGTGCTGTTATGGTACTGTTATGGTACTGTTATGGTGCTGTTATGGTGCTGTTATGGTACTGTTATGGTACTGTTATGGTGCTGTTATGGTATGTTATGGTGCTGCTATGGTAGTTATGGTGCTGTTATGGTACTGTTATGGTGCTGTTATGGTGAAGTTATGAATTGCTGTCATGCTTGGTGCTGTTGTGATACTGTTATAGTAGTTATGGTTCTGTCATGGTGCTGTTATGGTACTGTTATGATACTGTTATGGTGCTGTTATGGTGCAGTTATGGTACTGTTCTGGTCCTGTTATGGTGCTGTTATGGTATGTTATGGTGCTGCTATGGTAATTTTGGTGCTGTTATGGTACTGTTATGGTGCTGTTATGGTAAGTTATGGTGCTGTCATGGTGCTGTTGTGATACTGTTATGGTAGTTATGGTTCTGTTATGGTGCTGTTATGGTACTGCTATGGTCCTGTTATGGTGCTGTTATGGTGCTGTAATGGTAGTTATGGTAATTATGGTACTGTTATGGTACTGTTATGGTGCTGTTTTGGTAGTTATGGTACTGTTATGGTGCTGTTATGGTGTTGTTATAGTAGTTATGGTACTGTTAGGGTGCTGTTATGGTGCTGTTATGGTATTGTTATGGGACTGTTATGGTGCTCTTATGATACTGTTATTGTGCTGTTATGGTACTGGTATGGTGCTGTCATGATACTGTTATGTATGATGTTATGGTAGTTATGGTACTGTTATAATGCTGTTATGATACTGTTATGGTGCTGGTATGGTACTGTTATGGTGTTGTTATGGTACTCTTATGGATGCTGTTATGGCAGTTATGGTACTGTTAGGGTGCTGTTATGGTGCTGTTATGGTACTGTTATGGTACTGTTATGGTGCTGTTATGATACTGTTTTGGTGCTGTTATGGTACTGTTGTGGTTCTGTTATGGTACTGTTATGGTAGCTATGGTAGTTATGGTACTATGATGGTGCTGTTATGGTACTGTATTGGTACTGATATGGTGTTATGGTACTGTCATGGTGCTGTTATGGTACTGTTATAGTAGTTATGGTACTGTTTGGTACTGTTATGGTGCTGTTATGATGCTGTTATGGTACTATTATGGTACTGTTATGGTACTGCTATGGTACTGTTATGGTACTGTTATGGTGCTGATATGGCATTGTTTTGGTACTGTTATGGTACTGTTATGGTGCTGTTATGGTACTGTTGTGGTGATGTTATGGTACTGTTCTGGTGCTGTTATGGTACTGTTATGGTACTGTTATTGTGCTGTTATCGACTGTTATAGTGCTGTTAGGGTACTGTTATGGTCCTGATATGGTCCTGTTATGGTACTTTTATGGCGCTGTTATGGTGCTGTTTTGGTACTGTTGTGGTGATGTTATGGTACTGTTGTGGTGCTGTTATAGGACTGTTATGGTATTGTTATTGTACTGTTATTGTGCTGTTATGGTGCTGTTATGGAACTATTATTGCACTGCTATGGTATTGCTATGGTCCTGTTATGGTCCTGTTATGGTACTGTTATGGTGCTGTTATAATACTGTTATGGTACTGTTATGGTGCTGTTATAATACTGTTATGGTACTGTTATGGTGCTGTTATGGTACTGTTGTGGTGATGTTATGGTACTGTTTTGGTTCTGTTATGGTACTGTTGTGATACTGTTATTGTCCTGTTATGGTAGTTAGGGTGCTGCTATGGCACACCTTTGGCGGATGCTGTTATGGTAGTTATGGTACCGTTAGGTGCTGTTATGGTGCTGTACGGTACTGTTATGGCAAAGTTATGGTGCTGTTATGAAACTGTTTTGGTGCTGTTATGGTACTGTTGTGGTTCTGCGGTACTGTTATGGTAGCTATGGTAGTTATGGTACTATGATGGTGCTGTTATGGTACCTGTATTGGTACTGATATGGTGTTATGGTACTGTCATGGTGCTGTTATGGTACTGTTATAGTAGTTATGGTACTGTTTGGTACTGTTATGGTGCTGTTATGATGCTGTAATGGTACTATTATGGTACTGTTATTACTGCTATGGTAGTGTTGGTCCTGTTATGGTGCTGATATGGCATTGTTTTGGTACTGTTATGGTACTGTTATGGTTCTGTCATGGTACTGTTATGGTGCTGTTATGGTGCTGTTATGGTACTGTTGTGGTGATGTTATGGTACTGTTCTGGTGCTGTTATGGTACTGTTATGGTACTGTTATTGTGCTGTTATCGACTGTTATGGTGCTGTTAGGGTACTGTTATGGTCTGATATGGTCCTGTTATGGTACTTTTATGGTGCTGTTATGGTGCTGTTTTGGTACTGTTGTGGTGATGTTATGGTACTGTTGTGGTGCTGTTATAGGACTGTTATGGTATTGTTATTGTACTGTTATTGTGCTGTTATGGTGCTGTTGTGGACTATTATTGCACTGCTGTATTATTGCTATGGTCTGTTATGGTCTGTTATGGTACTGTTATGGTGCTGTTATAATACTGTTATGGTACTGTTATGGTGCTGTTATGGTACTGTTGTGGTGATGTTATGGTACTGCTATGGTCCTGTTATGGTGCTGTTATGGTGCTGTAATGGTAGTTATGGTAATTATGGTACTGTTATGGTACCGTTATGGTGCTGTTTTGGTAGTTATGGTACTGTTATGGTGCTGTTATGGTGTTTATAGTAGTTATGGTACTGTTAGAGGTGCTGTTATGGTGCTGTTATGGTATTGTTATGGGACTGTTATGGTGCTCTTATGATACTGTTATTGTGCTGTTATGGTACTGGTATGGTGCTGTCATGATACTGTTATGTATGATGTTATGGTAGTTATGGTACTGTTATAATGCTGTTATGATACTGTTATGGTGCTGGTATGGTACTGTTATGGTGCTGTTATGGTACTCTTATGGATGCTGTTATGGCAGTTATGGTACTGTTAGGTGCTGTTATGGTGCTGTTATGGTACTGTTATGGTACTGTTATGGTGCTGTTATGATACTGTTTTGGTGCTGTTATGGTACTGTTGTGGTTCTGTTATGGTACTGTTATGGTAGCTATGGTAGTTATGGTACTATGATGGTGCTGTTATGGTACTGTATTGGTACTGATATGGTGTTATGGTACTGTCATGGTGCTGTTATGGTACTGTTATAGTAGTTATGGTACTGTTTGGTACTGTTATGGTGCTGTTATGATGCTGTTATGGTACTATTATGGTACTGTTATGGTTGCTATGGTACTGTTATGGTACTGTTATGGTGCTGATATGGCATTGTTTTGGTACTGTTATGGTACTGTTATGGATTGCTGTTATGGTACTGTTGGTGATGTTATGGTACTGTTCTGGTGCTGTTATGGTACTGTTATGGTACTGTTATTGTGCTGTTATCGACTGTTATGGTGCTGTTAGGGTACTGTTATGGTCCTGATATGGTCCTGTTATGGTAACTTTTATGGCGCTGTTATGGTGCTGTTTTGGTACTGTTGTGGTGATGTTATGGTACCGTTGTGGTGCTGTTATAGGACTGTTATGGTATTGTTATTGTACTGTTATTGTGCTGTTATGGTGCTGTTATGGAACTATTATTGCACTGCTATGGTATTGCTATGGTCCTGTTATGGTCCTGTTATGGTACTGTTATGGTGCTGTTATAATACTGTTATGGTACTGTTATGGTGCTGTTATGGTACTGTTGTGGTGATGTTATGGTACTGTTTTGGTTCTGTTATGGTACTGTTGTGATACTGTTATGGTCCTGTTATGGTAGTTAGGGTGCTGTTAAGGTAGTTATGCTATTGTTATGGTGCCGTTATGGTCCTGTTATGGTAGTTAAGGTGCTGTTATGGTAGTTATGGCCCTGTTATGGTACTGTTATGGCCATGTTATGGCCTTGTTATGGTCTTACCTTGAATGGAGGCGATGAAGAAGATGGCCCCGATCATAAGGCCAGCAATGATACGGGCCATGGTCGAGGCTATGGTCCAGTCGGCCATGATGAGTAGATGTGACAGACAGACAGACAGACAGCTGATGTCACTTTCTACCAAATTGATGTAACTTTCCACTAAATTGGTGCCACTTTAATACATTGATATCACATTTTAATACATTGATGTCATTTTAGGAAATTGATGACATCACCATCACCAGTTTGATATCAGTCTCAAAATGTGTTATTTTTCTAGAATAAAGACGTCATTGATGTCACTTCTAGAGTACACCAACTTCAACATTTTACAACACTGATGTCATTTAGGTACACTGACGTCTAATTAATATAATGATGTCAGACTATTAATTACACAACACAAATTAGGTTTAATTTAATTCAATTTATCTACCACAGGTGTGTCGTTCTGTTACCATACAGGTGTGGTGTGACAGGTGTAGTAGTGTGACAGGTGTGGTGGTGTGACAGGTGTGGTCGGGTTTGTGACTGTACAGAGGTAAATGAAGCCTTTCTCTTCCTTACACCATTATGTGTTTTGATAAAACACACACACACACCAGGTGTACTGTACAGCTATACTAGGTCACGTTAACCTAGATCAATACTTGCTTCAAGATCAACAGCGACACACTTCTCACTGTACAATCGTCATCAACATTACAGTGTTCCAATTACATCACTATTTCACAACACATTCACTATTGGCCTTCATATTATATTTCCAGTTTAGGTGAAATTAACTAACGCGATGCATTCCTTCTCTTGATTTTAATCCGGAGTTAATGACTTTTTTTTAATCACGATTTCGACGGAACGTAACCCGGAGGTGTGTGAGCGAGAGGGAGGTTGGTAGGGTGAAAAGTCCTGCTGGAAAGATCGACCGTAGGAGGGGAGTCTGCCTCCCCGGAAACCCCAGGTACGAATGATCGAGGCAGGCTGGGAACGGACATTCTCTTGTTCCCCAGCGCCTGCGTCCTCCGTCCCCAGCACCGGGCTCTCTACTCCCGGAGTTGCAACGTTGCCAATGGCTTCGTGGTGGGGAAGAGGGCCACGGCACAGACTAGCTCGCTCCACGCCAATATTGAAGTTATTACGGAATTATGATCAGTGTGTGTTTGTGTGTGTGTGCCCAAAGCATTAGTCTACATGTCCGCTCTTCTCTTTCTTCAACTGTTATTCCTACCCTTCCTCCTCTTCCTGTAGCGGCATTTGTCTCTCACACCATAAATGAAGCGGAGATCACACACATATATATTTACAACTTCCCTCGAAATTTTCATCTCCCGATAATTTCCCCGTCATCGAAAAGCCTTCCCAATTTTCCCCAGCATTAAGAAATCTCCCTAATTTTTTCCCCAGCATTAAGAAATCTCCCCAATCTTTCCCCCAGCATGAAGAAATTTCCAATGTTTTTGGCCAAGATCCTAGGAGACAAAGATTTCCCATAAAATAATACGATTTAGGAGAGCGAGCGTGTTAATGGTGGCTGCCTCAGTTATTGCTCACTTGGGACCCCTTGACAAGCAGACTTATGCCAGGTAACCCGGCCACTATATCTGATCAATAACTTTTGGTCTGATTTAACAGGAGAGAAAAAAATTGTATTTCTTATTGATGGGGATTTCGCATGGGTTGGGTTGAGTTGGGTTGGGTTGAGTTGGGTTGGGTTGGGTTGGGTTGGGTTCTTTATTGTTATCCTTAGTGGTTCTACAGCTACAAAAATGGTTGTGATATGCTGGCTGAGTATCCATATCGTACAGTAGTTCTACAACACGCCTTAAGTCTCGGTAACTCAAACACCCTGTTATAATATATATTAATGGTTCATCACAGTTGCTTTCTATACCACCCTGGTTGTGTTCTCACGTCACGGTTCCACAACACGAATTTATGGCTTCTAAAACCCCTCTTGTTATTTTAGCTATTTTTACAATGGCGTTTCCAACACAATCAACTTCAATATATCTTTTTTTTATCTAGTTTATCCCTAATATCTTGTAAAGGTTCTACAATAACAGATACCTGAACAAGCCCCATCAACAAGACCTTCAGATAGCTACGTTAACAGCTTCTACTGCTTTCTGATAGCTTAAGGCAGTCCTACCAACACCCTCAACCTTGATATCCCACTTTTTTCGTTCACTCTTGATATATTGCTATCTTCCCTTATGTTACGTTCGCTGTTTAAGATCATAAAGATGCGTGAAACATTGTGAAGAACAAATGACGTCATATATCAGTAGTGTTGCTGCTCCCAGACGCTGTAAACTTGGCCACCCGAGAGGTTTATGATGCTGGGGCCGGCCCCGTCGTCCTGCCCCTGGGTCTGCTTGCATAGTTTTGGTGGAGGTCTGATGCTGTTTTGGTGCCTGTTTCAGGGTAGGTTAGGTTAAGTTAGGTTAGGGTCGCCTTTATGCCCTGCTATGCGGTTTTCAAATTAACATAAGCGTTTTTATATTTAATTTACTATTTTTTTATTGATCATTGAGGTTTTGGTTTTAATTGATAAAGTTTAAAAAAAATATATTAATGTGGTTTTTGTTTGATTTAGACACTTGAGGGTTTTTTGTGGTTTTATGTTGATCAATACAGTCAACCACTGGGTGTGTATACATACATACTATTGCACAACTAGTTAACGGTACAACAGTTACTTTATGATACAGCAGGTACAGCAATACTCTCTCTCTCTCTCTCTCTCTCTATTCTGCAGACGCTTAGAGAGGCCTACCAGAGAGCTTAGGGAGGCCTTCCAGAGAGCTTAGGGGGAACTTCCAGAGAGCTTAGGGGGCCTTCCAGAGAGCTTAGGGAGGACTTCCAGAGAGCTTAGGGAGGCCTTCTAGAGAGCTTAGGGAGGCCTTCCAGAGAGCATAGGGAGGCCTTCCAGAGAGCTTAGGGAGGCCTTCCAGAGAGCATAGGGAGGCCTTCAGAGAGCTTAGGGAGGCCTTCCAGAGAGCATAGGGAGGCCTTCTAGAGCTTAGGAGGCTTCCAGAGAGCATAGGAGGCCTTCTAGAGCTTAGGAGGCCTTCCAGAGCTTAGGGAGGCCTCTAGAGAGCTTAGGGAGGCCTTCCAGAGAGCTTAGGAGGCCTTCCAGAGAGCATAGGGAGGCCTTCCAGAGAGCTTAGGAGGCCTTCCAGAGCATGGGAGTCCTTCTAGAGAGCATAGGAGGCCTTTGTGCTGAGTTGGGGATTTTGAATATAGTTAAAAGTCTACCCAGATCCCAACAGGCAAAAAAAAAAAAGACAATCGGATTAGAAAAGGGTAGACAAAGGATGCGAGTTTTTGTTGTGTATAATAAAGTACCATAAATTCCTTAACAAATTATTCAGCTATATATAAATTCTTAACCATACTTTAACTTAAATATTAATACATATTTATACAACATACAATATTGAAGCAAGTGGACGTGGGGGAGGCAATATAAGATTACAAATACTTAAGTGCGGAGCTGAGATGGCTGACGAGCAAGGCTGAGTATTGTAGAAGACGGTAGGTAGTCACTGTGCCGTAGGTTTCCATAGGTGATCCTGTGGTCACTTCCCCAGAGTGAAGTGCTCTCCCTGAATTGGAGCTGACAAAGAAGACTTTGAGGAGGTGACGCAACAACCAGGATGAAGATGAGGAAACCCGAGTGGTAACTAAGACGAGTCATACTGTGTTTCGTCCCTAGATGGCGTTTGTGGAGGTAGATCAAGACAATTGGTGGTGCCTGTAACACCTTCCAGAGAGCTTAGGAGAGCCCTCCAGAAGCATAGGAGGCCTCTAGAGAGCTTAGGGAGGCCCTCCAGAGAGCTAGGAAGGCCTTCCAGAGAGGTTAGGGAGGCCTTCCAGAGGTTAGGGAGGCCTGAAGCTTAGCTTTCCAGACAGGTTAGGGAGGCCTTCCAGAGTGCATAGGGAGGCCTTCCAGAGAGCATAGAGGTTAGGAGCTCGAGGTCCAGAGAGCTTAGGAAGGCCTCCAGAGAGGTTAGGGAGGCCTTCCAGAGAGGTTAGGGAGGCCTCTAGAGAGCTTAGGGGGCTTCCAGACAGAGGAGGCCCAGAGCAGAGCCTTCCAGAGAGCATAGGAGGCTTCCAGAGAGGTTAGGGAGGCCCTCCAGAGCAGAGGAGGCCTCTAGGAGCTAGGAGGCCTTCCAAAGAGCATAGAGGCCTTCTAGAGAGCTTAGGGAGGCCTTCCAGAGAGCTTAGGGAGGCCTTCTAGAGAGCTTAGGGAGGCCTTCCAGAGAGCTTAGGGCGGCCTTCCAGAGAGCTTAGGGAGGCCTTCCAGAGAGCTTAGAGAGGTCTTCCAGAGAGCTTAAAGGGGCCTTCTAGAGAGCTAGGAGGCCTTCCAGACATTGAATCGGCTGCTTGTGCAATTAACCAGGCCGTTCACATATATTTATTATTTGGGTTTAAGTAACGAAACCCAAACGGTAGTTCCTTGTTTTATTATAAAAGGGTTGTATATATAATTCCTGAGTGTAGATCAACCGTAAGTCCCACTGTATAGGACTGAATGAGAAAGGGATGGCGTTTATGTGTTATAAACGTTAGGTCACGTCCTTACGATATAAGTTGTTGTGAGCGACTAAAGAGTGAGGGCCTTGCTGTGCGTGCTTACAGAAATGCTGACTATGGGTCACTCCCTCCTGGGAGAGTTGCCCGCTCACGTGTCCAACTCATGTCTTACTCATAAACAGTGGAAAGTTACAGGGTGGTGAATCTGAATATAATATTAGATGTATTGACCCATTTATATAATATGTTTTGTTGATGAGACAGGGGCCCATTACTTCGCTCGGTCACCTACCAGCCGAGCTCTGTGAGGCCTAAATAACTCACAGAGTACAGTACATCCTAGACAACCCTAACCATGTTATAAACAGATATGTAGACACTAAGCTGGAGATTCTACTACTGTAGGGGTATTAGCTACTACAGGGGACCTAGACTTTAGTGTCGTACGGGTTAGTATGTTATGAACATTGTTGAATTTGGATGACACTGCCCTGTAATAACAGAACAGGAACATAATTGCCAGAATTAACAAAATAGAGGGAATTGTAA